AGGCCCTAAATGTTTGTTATGTACCAAAAGTATCATCATGTATGCATCTGCTATGCATAGTATTTGGATCTGCTGTTTTTGTTGTGGTTTTTTGTGGAGTCTGATTAGGTAATTGTTTTTTAGGAAGACTTACTTATATGGAAACTTCAAAAGTACTGAATTTTAGAGAAAATTCGTTTCTTGATCTGGTTTAATTTTCTTATTAGTTTAGGAAAAATTCAGTTTCCTGATCTGCTTTAACTTTCTTATTGGTTTAGGAAAAATTCAGTTTCCTGATCTGATTTAACTTCCTTTTTGGTTTTGCATTCTACAAAAAGCAAGTTCTTGTAGGACAAGTTTGGGACTTTATATAACTCTAATCAGATTTTAAATTTGTGCCAATACAAGAGAGAGCATGTGAGAGAGATTGAGAGAAAATTCTCAATTGTAATTCTTCATCTTCTTCATAGTGAATTTGTTCGGTGTACTCCATGGATGTAGCCCTAAGATTTGGGTGAACCATGTATATCTTGTGTTGTTGTGTATGATTTTTTTTTTTTTGTTCGTGATTGCTTGTTTATTCCTTGAACAGTATTGTTTATTTTTACGTTTCCGCCATAACAACTGATATCAAATCCGGTTGATTATGCAGAGTAACTCTTAACAGTTTTTTGTTTCATGCCATCATAAACATGCATGTCCATGTTGTTACAATTTTATTTTATTTATTTGTGAAGAATACATCAGAATGTTCATATAAGAGAGAAGAATTTGCATCATGACAATTATCTGATGATAATTGCTAGTTGGAGAAGACATGCCAACTTGACATTACTATAGCTGTCTGTATATATCATATGAGATATAAAATAATGCAAGCAAGAACTGGAGAATCTCACAACAGGCACACCATGATAAAAATTAATTTGCAACTCTATAAAGCAAGTCCCATATCTGTTTCTTCCCGAAAATTAAAATTGATGGAGACTGATTTGCCAAATCAGTGGTATCCGCTACAATGCTATTCTACGTCATCAGTAGTATGACTATGTTTGTTCTCGCTTCCTTTCTCAATAACATTATATGCCTGTCTCCATTTACAATCAAGGAATCTGCTCATCATGTTGGATTGTGTGTTCTTTTTTTTCAACTTTGTCAGATGGCATCTACAACTGACTGTGATAGCTCTGATAGTAAAGACCATGCGAATCAGTTCAAATGGGATACTATGAGAACTCTTCCATGCATCAAATAAAATGGAGGGGACCAAACTTTTAGTATCTCTTTAATTCCTGTCATCCCAGCCTCATATTTATCATATTCTTTAAGATTACTTTGCCATCTTCTGCAGATAATCCACATATTTTCCACAACTAAAGGTCCTTAAGTAACAAACACCCAAGCTTCAATTAATTGAAAATTACAGTAATTAGCGGGCTGGTAAATCTCCAGAATATACTAGTAAACAATCAGCCTCAACCAAGTTTAGCTTAGTTTTGGTTCTTACTCTTGACCACCGTCTTCTTTTATCATACTCATTTTATGTTTAAATGGAGGACAGCCATGAAATTCTGTTTTCTTTCTTATGGATACATTTTGTTACACTTCTTATAGACATACTGCAAATTTTGTGAGTCGTGACAGGCTAGGCTGCAGATTATATGTGCACTGCTAAAACAACTTTCAAAGGTAAAATAAGTTATAGTTTCACCCAATAGCACTTCAATAACATTCAACCCCACAACCATTGTTTGAGTTTAAATTTGATTGTTATATTTTGAACTGCATACAATTATGTAAGGAACTGTTCTATGTCTATGTTGTTGGGGGATAAGTTGCATGAATAGTTATTATGTTTGCTAATCATGGTAGTATGGGCTACTCTTTTAACTCAATATTTGACATATTGGTAAGAGGGACAGCTACATGCATGTATCTTTCATCTATAATTTACAAAGGGAGGTATGTGGCACTGGAGAATACTTGATGAAGAAGCTGGCAAACTCAGCACTGATGTTATCAGGCGCTAAATGTATTAAAACAGATACGGATTCAAGCTTGTGGCGGACCTTGAAAAGTGTTTTAAACACTACTGAGAATAGTATAAATAAAATGAAAAAAGGTGAGGGATTTTATACGGTTCTTTATCTGAAGTAAAGTTGAAGAATCAATGGCACCTCAGACTAGAAAGTGGAGAATTTACCTCTTTCCACTTTATGTAAATGAAAACAACAGGAATGCCAAAAGTGCACACTTCAATTCTATCTTTGCTTGGCATCATTTACATGTTTGGAATCATTCTTATTTAACTTTATCGTCTTTGTTACATGTAAAGATAAATAAGGCACTTTATCGTGACATGCACTTTGATTAAAGTAATAAACACTTCTTGAGTATTTTGGGTCTAAGGGACTCCGACATTGCGAAAACATAGTTAGATATGTTTTGTCAGCACATTTATGAAGTAAAATATATTGATTTGCTTTTCATGCATGTGATTGTGTTTAGACATTATATAAAAAGATGCTGTAGATGTAGAAATGATTTCTTGCTCACTGGTAAGCAAGAAATTTTTTCCACACCATTTATACTGACCGTTGGAAATCATGTGTATAATTTGACTCAATGATTGTGGCAAATTTATTGGGTCTTCATTATAGACTAATGTTTAGGAATTTTATTTTTATATTGATTTGATTTATTCTGATTTGATTTTATTCTCTTTTCCATATTTGTAATTTTCCTCTTGTATATAATGATAGTCAGGCTCTTAAATTGAGTACGCCAATTTTACTAAGTTATTTTTTGGTATCAGAGCCTCAAACCTACGTCTCCCCCCTCTCTTTCATCGCCTCTTTTGATCTCTCTCTCTATTTTGTCATAGCCCCTTCCCTATTTCTTTTTCCCTTTTTTTCACAGACCCTCTCTCTTCTTCAGGCCGCTGTTGCGACAGTCCTAGGAGGAGCCAATCTCCTCTAGGTTCAACCCCTGTAGGGGTATTCCCTTAGTCTTTTTCATGCACTAAGGGTCAGAAGATGTGTTTGTAATTTTTTGGGGCTGCAGGGATATTCGGCAGCATTTTCAAATCAGACCGCCGTGTCTCCGGCTTCTTGGTTTGATCAAAATCAAGTTTATTCCTCCTTTATTTGAAATTATTGGTGATCTGTTGAATTGTTCTATTTAATATTATGGCTGAATCAAGTAATAATAAAGAAACTCTTTTTTCAGCGCAACACACAGTGGCTTAACGAGTTACTTGTGTGCTTTTGAATGACCGTAATTTTGCATCCTGGGCTCGTTCCCTCCACCTCTATGTTGGTGGAAAAGGCAAATAAGGGTGGATTTTGGGTACTGAAAAGATGCCAGATATTAAAAATCCTAAGTATGCTCAGTGGGATATGGACAATTGCACCATTTTAGGATGGATGTTTAATTCTATGGAGGAACGCATTTATAATATATTCATGTTTTATAACTCTGTTAATGACTTGTGGACTACTTTGAATCAAATGTATGCTCATTCTAGGAATGATGCTCGTACTTTTGAATTATACCAAGATATTGCTAAGGCCTCGCAGGAAGGCCTGAATTTGTCTGTAGCTGATTACTTTAGGTATTTGAGATCTCGTTGGGAGGAGCTAGTTCAATATGAGCCTCTCAGTGAATTTCTTTCCGAAGCAGCCTCTCTTCTTGTCAAACGTCTTGATCGTCAGCATACTTATCAGTTTTTGATGGGATTATGCCCAGAATTTGAACTACTAAAGTTTCAAATCTTGAATGCATCACCAATGCCATCCCTATTGAAAGCCTTTGCTACTGTTGATGGTGAAGCACACAGGCACCGTTTAATTTAGCTACAGACAAATTCTGCTGCACTGTTAATGGAGACTATGCTGGATGTAAGATAGATAGACGTTCTACCTCTAGCTTCTGTACTTTCTATGGTAATCATCTCATATCATGGAAGAGTAAGAAGCAAGCTGTTGTCTCCAGATCCTTTGTTGAAGCTGAATACCAAGCTATGGTTCAAGGTACTTGTGAGCTCCTTTGGCTTCAATCAATTTTGGGAGAGTTGGGTTTTGTAGAAAAAGATTCTTCAAGGCTGTTTTGTGATAATAAATCAGCAATTATGCTTACTTTCGATTCTGTTTTACATTAAAGGTCGAAACATATTGAGGTAGACATCCACGTTATTCGAGAGAAGATTGGATTAGGTATCATTAATCCTATTTTTGTTCCCTCTTCAAAACAGACTGCAGATGTGTTCACAAAGTCTGTTGGGCCTTATCTTCTCCAGTCTTCCATAGTCAAGCTGGGTTTGGTCAACATAATTGCTCCAGCTTGAAGGGGAGTGTTGGAAATCATATCTATAAGTTGACTCAATGATTGTAACAGATTTATTGGGTTTTCATTATAGGTTAATGTTTAGGGATTTTATTTTTATTCTGATTTGATTTTATTTTCTTTATTCTGATTTGATTTTATTCTTTTTTCCATATTTGTAATTTTCCTCTTGTATATAATGATAGTCAGGCTCTCAAATTGAGTATGCCAATTTTATCAAGTTACTTTTCTGACCATTGATAAGATTGCTATGTTTTTTTTGGTAACTACCATTTTTACACTTTCATCATATCTAACGGTCACGGGAGTTGGTGTGGAGAAAGTTTCTTGCTTACCAGTGATCAAAAGATCATTTCTGCTGCAGATAAATGTGATGTTTAGATCATCTATATGACATGTAAAAGTTTATTTTAATTCCATAATAGTAATAAAGATAATACATAAGAAAATTGCTCCCTGCTATGTAAATAAAACTGATTTATAGATTTTCCACTTGAATGCTGGTTATAGGTGAGAGAGGGTTGTCTAATTAATCAATGCTGCAGTTTCCAGTCTTACTGGTAATCTCATTGAACTTGTTTCTCCTTGATTAGTAACAGATGGCTGAAATTGCTGAAGCGCTTTATATTGCATTCACCTCATTAATTCTTTTGTATCTAACATATGGAGGCAGAGAGTAAATAAAGCTAACTTCATTAAGGAAAGCAGATAGGCTACAAATTTTTGCTGGGTACATAGGCTACATGCCAAAGCTAATCGAAAGCTACAATAGATTCAATACACAAACACAGCTGCATACACTACTTAATTTGAGCTCACTGCTGTTGAGTATTTAATACAGAAACACAGCTGCATACACTACTTAATTTGAGCTCACTGCTGTTGAGCTTTATTCTTCTAAGTTCTAGCTAATATGTGACAGTGCAGTAGAATTTTAGGATAGATTCTGATATGGCGTCAGCAATGGAATAAGAGAGCCACTTAGGTGGAGGGACATGACTTCGTTGGTGGATCCCACCAGCTTTCCAGCTATGAAGACTGCAGGTACTGGTGCACTACACCCCATCCTCATGAGAGCCTTCTCCATTTCCCTTCCTTCAGGGTCCTGATCGATCTCATGAACCAAGGGAGTCACCCCAAGTTCATGAAATAGAATGTTGACGGCATAGCACAAGCAACATGTGCTCTTGCTGAAGATCACTAACCCATTCTCTGAGACCATTTTGGTTACCTTATCCATCTTGATATTCTGAACTCAATAGGTTGAATAGAATTGCTTTTGAGATGGAAAAAGGAAACCAAAGGACTACAGTTTAAAATTAGACAATATATCAAATCTACTTAAAATAAAATGTCACAATCCATCAGACCAAAATCAATTTGAATTACGATCTGATGGTAGGGGTTTTGATTTTATGAGGGAAAAGGAGGAGAAATGGGCAAGAGAAAATTTAGTTTGAACTTTGAAGCTGAATGTTGCTTGAACTTGAGTTCTTATGCTACTCAATTTATAGAAACAGTCAGGGGTGTACTCTCTAAAGTTGATGTGCTTTACTAAGATTCCCAAAAACTAAAGTTACTTTACAATAACAGATACTGTTTGATACACACCGAACAAGTTGGAAGATATTATTTCTGTATACATTTCATGAGTTTTACTGATGGGGTGACCATACCCATCAGATATGTGGACTATTTATTATTCTTCTATTGAACTGGTTTGTGACCCATGTGTGCAGCCTAATGACCATGTGTTCAACTTCTACAGATATCATGGACATAAATGCTTTAACATGGAAACACAACAAAAGTTGAAAGTTCATAAAGGGTGGTCAATTTTCACTAGATTCTCCCATTGATCTTCTCAATATTCTCCGGTAAGAAGATTACAAATGATATAGCATAGCTTTCGGTGGTTTTGTTGTGCCCACCAACTTGCATGATTCCTTCTTACGAGTGTGCTTCTGAATCTCTGTTCATATAAATTGTTGCCACAGAATTGAGCATATAGCTAGTGGTTGTACATGTGTGGATGAGCAAGCAAAGACTTGCACTTATCCATAATGACGATGTTAGGCACGCTTCTCTTATCAAAATGGACAGTCATCCTACTTTGAATGAGTTAAGCACAAAATTTGTGAAGTCATTAGCAGTAGTATGACTTGTAGCACCAATGACAGTGATTGGGGGTGTGTAGCTAGCTATATATTTGTGTGTGTGTCATAGATTCATGACCATAGGGAGAATTTATATATATTGTGTTTATGTATTTACATTTATATATGTATGTATTCATTTATGTTTGTATGCATTTGGGAATTTATTCCATCACTTTCTATACATGGCCATATAAGGGCTCTTTTGGTGATACCACTGGCTTAAAAAATTTACTTGGGTTTTTTAAAATGGAGAAATTCAAAGAGGCATAAGAGCTTTCTAGCATCACTTCATTGTCCTGCCTTATCCATGGTATCATGGAGATGACTAGCTTGGCACTTGGTAGCTGCCAAAAAGACCGAATAAATTAAGAAGAAGAAAAAAATTAATTTTCACTTCCTGTTAAAATTTAAACTAATGGCATAGTGATCACTTATAGTGAAGTTGCATTTCTTTTTAAAAAGAGAGCATATAAACACCGTGATTTGCATCAAATTTCTGTATCTATTACGTGGCGATATTGCGAGATGTTTTACTGACTAATGCAATTCACTTGTGATCCCTTTTGCGTAGGATAACTTTGCTGTCAAAACATGTCTGATCGGTGGTAATGCCTGCTGGAAACTTTATTCTGCAGTAGTGTAGCATGTGGGAGCGATCATGATGAACTAAGGATAAAAGTGCATATTTTATCTCCAATTTGGCATGATAAAAATAAATAAATAATAACAAGTCTAGAGGAAAGATAGAGATAACATAAACTCTACAGGACCTGCTCTATTTGAGTTCCAATATTTGTTAGGAAAAGAAGAAAAGAAAAAAAAAAAAAACGACTATTAACTGCCAGAAAGAATTTTAGCGACTGGATAAGCCATTTTCATATAGCATAACCTTTTATACAATATAGTCACTGCATTTGGCAAAAAGTGAAGCCCTTGATACAATGTTACCTTTAAAATTGTACAAGGGCTTGTTAACTATTACTATAACATGAACATTATATAGCCACGCTTTAAGATTACTAGAACCAGATGGCTCCAGCTTGAATGAGCATTTGTTTCAGAGACCCATCGACATGGAAGGAAATGACGTCTTTGGCTGAGCCCACAAATCTTCCACCTATGAACACTGCTGGCACAGAGGGATTACAGCCTAGGTCTCGGAGTGCCTTCTCCATTTCTCTCCCGCTTGCATCTTTATCAAGCTCATGAATCGCGGGACTTGCACCAAGGCCTCTAAACAATTCCTTGATGCTGTAGCACATACAACATGTGCTCTTGGTGAAGATCACTGCAGCCTTCTCTGCTGCCAAAGCTCTTACCCTATTCATTTTCAGAAGTTCTGCTAAAAATATTGCTCGTGATGCAGGTGGGTGGTAATGGCTGCTTGAAGAAAGTTGAGACAAGAAGGCAAGTGAGCAAGGTGAGCTTTATACGCTTGTATGTAGTGAGGCTTATCTGTGTTGGACTCTGAGCTTTCATCACCCCTATTTATAGGCTGATGAAAGTGGTGTATAACATTGTTTTATCCGAAAAAGGAAAACGAAAAACAGTAAAATAACCATTGAAAATATGAAAGGAGAAAGTTCCTTCAGATATTTGTTTGGATAAGAAAAATGCCCTTGATGATTTGCTTGATAATGACCCTTTGTGCTATAAACAAGTTGACACCTAGTATCATCATCATCCAATGTGATCATTCAGATCTCCTTGAGTGTCCGTACGATATCTGTAACAGTACTGTTAGGAGTCATAGCAAGATTAATTAAACTACTTGTATTAAACTATGTGTTAGCAGGTAGGGAAAGCTCGGATGGTGGCCGGGGGATATATTCTTTATCTTGTATCAAATTATTTTGTTGATGATCCAACTTTCGGAAAGACTATATGCATAATTACATAGAGGGATCTATAAAGGCATGATTTAGGAGAAATATGTTCTAGACTCACTCACTCTTCTGTTGGGTTTGTTGTAGAGCTGAGTGATAAATTGCATTATCCTCTGAAAAACAGGGAAGGAACCTTTTTTTTTTTTTTTTTTTTTAATAGTAATTTGTTTGCAAAGTCAACTGCCTGTTCAAGTCACACCTAGGCTGATTACAACATTATATCTTCAGGATTTTTGGTTTCTTTTTTCAGACATAGCTTATGTTAATTTAATGTGTCAAAAAGAAATTAGTTTAGAAAGTAGTAGTGAGGGGTTTGATTTGTTATCATTACAATACATTTATGTGATGCATTTGCATTTTGACATTGCAGGACTATACATATACCATTTATATATATCCTGATTATTTTGCTGCTTCTTTTCTTCTTCTTCTTTTTCTTTTTATGTTTGATTGTTATCATAGTAGATCGGAAAAAGATAGGAGTTTATCCAATTCAATCTCACTTTTTGATATTGGCCCCCTAACAAAGTAAAATATTCATGCAAAAAATAATATGAGAATCAAGGAATGAGTACCCTGAGCAAACAATAATTAACAAAATATAACACTAAGTATTCATATCAAATTGCCATCTTTATACCTTTAATCAAATGATTCTAAATTGGGACATTGATGATATCTCAATGAAATTCATGTTCATGTTATATTTATCTAATCTTTTTTCTTTTCAATTGATTACTGAGATTTTATTTACAATGTGTAGGAAATTTTCATTTGCAGTGGGATTAAACCTTATTGTACTGATTATGAGTAGATTGACTTCATCGCGAAGATAGAAAAGGGATATAACTAATATATATATATATATGGCTCACGTTGTCATCATCGAATCTCAGGTATAAATGCATATTCTTCTTTGTTCTGGATGATCTATGAAGTGAAAGACTCATTTATCTTTGAGAAAATCTTCAAATGTTCACAATCCAATGTGTATTCACATCTCGGATGAGATAAGGATCTAACTTTTGATACTACTATCCCGAATATGAGATAGTGATCTTTATACGTCCAACTTTTGGAATATATATATATATTTTTTTTTGGGCAAAACTTTTAGAATTAGTTTGCACACTAAAAATTTTGGCATTATTTTACATAAAACAGCTATTTTGAAACTCAAATGTGCATCTCCATGCTTATCAGTCTCGAATTTACAATTGCAACAAACAATAATCCCTACATACACACACATGTATGGTTTGGAAAATCAAATTTAGTAGAGGATTTTTGGGGTCAGAGAGTTGCTCTTGGTTGATTTCGTTTCAAATAGTTTGTTTTGGGGATTAATTTTGGTGTTATGTAGGCTCATATAATTTGTTTTAATACAATTTTCAATACTGAAATTCGAGTAAATTTTATACAATTTTCTGTTTGTAGTTTCTTACAATATTTTTCATTTTTGTATACCATATTACCATGTTTCGTATCCACCCATTCGTGTACTGAGTTTGTTTCAAAGGACAAATTATAAGCATTTTTGATGATTCATATGATGGAAAAGGTTTTTGGTTCATTCATCGTACGTGGAAAGATGGAATGAACATTTGGGTCCTCCAAACCCCATATGCTGCTCCATTTTTCTTACATTAGCAAATAGGAAGCAGATTATCCTCATCCTTATTCATTCTTTTGATATAACTTCACAAAGTCACCTTTTTAACTAGATATTGAATTGGAGGATTTTCCTTTTATTACAGGTTTTTAATTCAGTGGTATAAAATTTTTTTAAAATTTTTAAAGAGGAGGTGATGAGTTCGAGTCCGAATTTGAATAGTTGTGTTAGAAAAGGTACTAGTAAGAATAAAAAGCCACAAACTCTCCACCAATTAGAAACAAAATAATAATAATAATAAAGAAGGTAAATGCGTGTAACTTTACTGTTTTTTAAAATAATAATAAAATTACAAGGATATTTTAGACATTGCGCCAGTTCTAAGATAAAAAACTCCCCACCAATTAGAAACAAAAAAAAAAGGTAAAAGTGTGTATTTACTTTACTATTTTTTTTTTTATAAAATATAATAATAATAATAAAATTGCAAGGATATTTTAGACATTGCACCAGTTAGTGGACCAACTAGAAAATCGAATTCAGAAAATGCTGGCTTAGATTTAATGATATAGGCCATGGTTCAGGTTTCGTTTTTGGCATTTTATTTTAATCTAAAACAAAATAAATATTTTGTTGTAAAGTGATTTAAATGATAATCGAAAACATGTTTAGTAACGTTCATTTGTTGTAAGGTTTTTAAAAGCAAAAATATAAAAATATTTTTGATAAAAAAAATGTTGCAAGTTTGAAAAATATAATGTTTATTTTGAAAATGTCATTTAAAAAATATATATTATTATTTATTTACTGTTCATCACTATTGTTACATTGCTCAAACATATAACAATACTAAATTGGCATTTTAATTTTTGGCTACTATTCACGAAACGTTTTAATACTGTGCAAAACAAAACATTTTTTATCATACATGTTTTTTCACCATTCACTGCAGTACTCGACAAAAACAAAAACATCAAGAACAAAACACGTACCAAACATGCCCTAAGTTGTTTTATGTTAGTATTTTGTTATGATGTAGCACAAGCTCATCGAAATTTCAGCCCAGAAAAGCCCACGGCCCTAACACAAAGCTCCTCTCCTACCACTCTTTAAATTTATTTATTTGTCTTCAAATCAAGCTCGCTTTTGAAGTTTATATCCTTCAAGCCAAGCTCTTTTTGTGCTTGTTTGGAAATGCTTTGTTTTATGGGCAATACTTAACAATTCATTGTGAGTAGTTTTATCCTTTTCACTTCCTATGTGTTCTAATAAAAAAATAACACATCAATTTTAAAAACAAAGTCAGCAAAATAATGAATAAATAAAAAATCGGATTAACCCATTTTAATTGGGTAAAAATCATTTTTCTTTTTTCTCTCTTTCATAGATTCCCGAACCCCCCATATTCAACGCCTCACTTTAGATTACAAAATAATATTTAGAGTTAATAAATACAAATCCAAAAGAGTAAATCTCCGTCGCCATTACAATGATTACAAAATACTCCGTAATACAAGTTTAGTTCAAGGCTATATGTATACCGTAAGTGTGTTTATAATAATTATAAAAATATGAGATGATAAAAAACTATTAAATCCCCTAAATCACATCAATTTGAGATTGAAAATTAGGTTTTTTTTCCATTTGAATCATCCAGACAACCAGAAATTTCAAATGTCACTGGACCAGACTTGATAGTAGCATACGAAGAGCTCAACTGAACAACAGCTGACCCCTCCTTAAAACTGAAACTTCTGCTCATCCTACTTAGGCTGAAGCTAAACCGATGATTAGGTGATTGATACCTTCCCTTTGCAGCTACTGGGTCAGTAGTTTCTTGATCAAATCCCTTAGAATTCTCAATTGGACTTGAGCAGGAAATCTTACAGATTTACTTTTGGAAAATATGGCTGGTGATTCACTTGTTTTATTGTAAAATATAAAATTGAACCTTTTTTATTTTGTTTTGGTCCAAAACAACCCACAACACATTTTAGAAGAATGGTTCAGAAATGTTAAAAGTAAAAATATAGTTATATACTTATAAGGTGGTAAACGGGCGGGTAAGATCGAGTTTGGGTAGGGTCACATATAGGCGGGTCAAATATGAATTGATCCACATCCAAACCACTTTGTAATGGATTACATATGCATTTCATTTTATTATTTTGAATAATCTCATTATTATAGTTTTTTTTAATTTTAAATGGATAAAAATTTGTAAAAATATGTATGGATAAGTGTAAATCTTCTAATTTATTTTGAAAATTCTTTAAATTTATATTATTTTATTTTGTGACTAGACATGCACGAAGATAAGATACTATATATATATATATATATATATATATATATATATATATATGAAATAATTTGTTATGCTTTTTATAGAATAACTAATTAAATGAATAAATCAGGTTGTTTTACTTTGAAATACAAATATAAACATAAATTTCTTTTGAGTCATAGTATTACATACACGAGGAGTTCATAATGCATAGAGAATTTGAGAGAGAGAGAATTTGGGATCGTATGAGAATTTTAAAAAGGAAGAGGTGAATTTGAGTCAAATAGAGATTGTGAAACTGTGTCTCTTATATAATGAATAAAATATAGGTCAAAATGAGTGACCCATATTCAACCCATTTAACCCTCTATAAAAAGATATTGCATATGAGTCACCCATTTTTATCCATATTTTAAAATAATTCACCCATATTTATTTTAAAACGGGCGAATATGACCGGATTGATGGGTCATAGACCTATTTTGCCACCCCTAATTCGTATTGCATTCTAAAATCCCATATTTTAGACGAAATATATTGTTTGGGAAAAATAAGATCAGCCGGTTCGGTAGTGAATTATAGTACCATCCGATATACCGGAGTGAATCCCACCTCCCCAGATCTGTGGTACATGAGTGCACCATGCTAGTAGGATCATGTTCGAAGGAACATGTGTATACACACATGCATGCATGCATAAACTGAGATGGGTGCTTCTTTTGAAGATGACCAGACACTATCTGAGATCGACAGTTATAGGGAGATATTATTTTAATAAATAAATAAATGTAACATGAAAAAGAACAAATGCAATATGCGCGTGTAGCAGTGTAGGTATACATACAATATATAGATACAGAGGAAGGACATTAGCTCGATGCGTGTGTTTATAGATTGAAACTAACTATGAATATTAGAGAAAATTTTATATGATTTCATAAATTGAGAACACCTGTAACACTTTCATATGTTTACTTCAGTTTCATTTAACAATTCATTCTATCACTAAAAATGAAATTACATGCATAATTGAACAATTTAAAATCGTAATTATAAATCGGTAGTTCTCCTTTCAATTCATAAGATTCGTGAGATTATATGTCGCCAGCGTTCACGTGCAGCAACACATGTTACAAAAACTTTATATGAAAAGAAGAAGAAGAAACGTCATGGGAATAATGAAGCACGTGATTGATTTAAAGTAGAAAACAACACCACATCCAGTCATCCACATATACGAAGATGCCCACATCCACCCCAAGAATCCCCTTTAAGCTGAAAATCATATTTGCATTTGAGATTTTGTTCAATCTTAATCACAGATTTCCAGAATAACTAAAAGATTTTGAAGAGAAATGACGAGAGTAATGTTACCAGAATAAAAATTTGAGAAAGACTAGTCATACTGAAGCTCGTGGCACTTGTGAATGATCCTGACTTCCGTCCACTGCAAAGAATTGACATGTGTAAGAAATTTTCAAAGTAAAACTACGACAAAAGGCACCTTATACAGCAAGCTTCACCCTCGTCCGTTTGATTTAGCACGCCCTCATCATATCATTTTCATTCTTGAAAATTGTTTGGTTTTCGGAGAATCTTCTCCATTTGGCATCTAGATAAGCATTAAAGATGAATCAAACCAATGGTTGAAAGCATTCCTTTGTGAGAGAGATGGAATAACAGAATAACAGAACTGCACCTGCACCTGAGAAGCTCTTATCTAATTTATGTCTGTCTGTGATGCCAGTACTCGGTTTTGAGTCCTGCTTTATATATATTCCGGTTACAGAAAGAATGTCCTATCAAAAGTTGACGACATTCTCATAACAAACTTTTTACCATCTCTCAAATCATAAATGCAGTAAATACTCGCCTAAATATATACACATAACATAAGTTTATTACAATCAAATACAGTATAACTAACAAAAATATTATATGCAACAATACTATATTGTACTCGCAATGAAGAATAAAGGGCGTTCCGTAAGTGCTCATGACATACTATATATATTGGGGAACACTGGGGCACCTTCAAGTAAAATAATCCATTTTTCTATAATAACAACTGAATTACCCAAAAAAAAACTGCAAATGAACCAACTTTTGGGTCATGTTCCTCTACTAAGCAAACAAGTCATCGATCTAGTTTAGAACTTGAATGGGTTCTCGCAAGTGATCGACTCATATAGCCTTGACCTGTGATTTTTTAACAGAGTCTCATACATATATCGTAAAGAAACTATAAAAATTAAAGATATCATAAAAATTAAATTAAAATATAAATATATATATATATATACACTATCATCTCATGAGTTGGACAGAACATATTCAAAAACAACTTAAACCACTAAAACTGAAACAAGTAAAATCTAAACAATCTAAACTGCACTCGGTTTATTTGCAAATTCTAGACAATGGAGTAGAATTAATTGTCTAGTACGAGAGAGAAGCTACCAAGTTGAGTAGATATAAACTGAGAGAAATGTAAAATCTCAACTCAAATGGGGCAGAAAATTAATTGGAAACTATAAAAATAAAATATGGGCAAGAAAATACACGCATTGCAATCTGTCTCATATCTGGGTTATTTGATAAGCACTCCTACCATAAGGTGCCACAGTCATACGACGCTACATATCTGGCCTTTCAATTTATCTTGAGCCTAAGTTTTAATGTTCCTGTACCTTTCTTCTTACCTAGTGAAATCTGGTCCCTGAAAGTTACATCGTATACACACACATATTCACACAAAATTTTGACATTATCACCAGCCAAAAAACACTTTTCCTTTCATATTATGGGTATGGATCCCTATCTTTTCTTGTTTTGTTTTGGTGATAACATCAAAATGTGCGTGAATATATACACACACACATATATATATTCTTAAGATAAGAATATCAGATGTTGAATTCTCAAGAATATTAATTTCATCTCTTTCGAAATGAAAGGGTTCCAAGTATGCAAAGATATTACAGAGTGATGGTATACATGAGTTGAGTTCTAAAATGAAATGGTAAGTACTATTTATGAGATGAAATTGATGAATCAATGTAAATTGGAGAGAGAGAATTCATGTGGCCCACCCCATTCATAGGGATTAAAGTAAGGACCATAATGATGAATGTAAATTGCTTGAAAATTAGCAAAATGAGGATCAACTTTTGGCAATGAAAGAAGTCAGCATCACTTTGCAAAAAGTAGTTCTTTTCAAAGCCCTCGTGATCCTATCTCACACATAAAATAATGAAGTTGATATCAAAATATTCAAATTCTCTAATCATTTATTATTAGACTAATCATCAAAAGAATATCAATGAGCTAAATTTCTTTATATGCAACAAAGTTCTTGCACAATATCTCCAGATAATCTTTAACTTTCGGGAAAAAATAAATAAATAAATGTCTTCAGATAATCCTCATTAGTTCCTTTGGTGACATAAGTCCAACAAACATCTACTGCATGCAGAAAAAGGAAGTCCTAATACACACTGGTATATATAGAACTTTACTTCTTTAAGGGGCAAAGGATCTTAATCTTTCTATTAGCAAAAAGCAGCTTCCAGCAACATCTCAAAATTTTCTACCAGTGCAAGCTTTCTACACCGGGATTGACAAAGCATAATAAATGACCTTTCAAACCTAAATGTGCACCTTTTCACAAAGAATCAGGTTGTGACAAGGACAATGAACAGTAACTTAATTCCCACATTGTTTAAATATTACATTAGTCATGTGTTTTTATGTGGAGAATAATACGTATAAATTGACAGTGTGCAAGACTGGAAGGTATGTTCTTCTCCTTCTGTACAATGTCACTGTATGCATGTGATTTTTTTTTTTTCTTAGCATGCTCGTAAGGGCAAATCACCAGTCACCACTGATAAGCATCTTTTTCTCCTTCACAAATTTCCTTTTATTCAATTGGTTTTCGTTATATTGAATTTGAACTCGATGCGAATCTTGTTATGGAGAGAAAAAAAGGCTACCCAATTGGATAAACCCAATATCTCTCTCCACCTCATCAGATTCTCCGATTTGGATATATTACAAGGTTCTGTATGTCATATATAACAAAAAATCATATTAATATATCTATATCTATATATGATATTACCATACTGGCCTTAAGCATGTAATTGATAGTAAACCTAGTGTTTATGTTGATTGCATTTGCAAGGAGCAAGGTTATATCTTAATTAATTACAGGATTCTTTTCGTTGTTCTGTCTCATACTGCCGAATTTAATTTCTCACGAGTGCCATTTTCTTTTTTGATAGCAATATATCTAGCCACACACACACAGGCTACATTAAGGTTACTGATGTCAATTTAAGGATGTGCAATCCCACTGTGATTACGTTCGGCATATTAATCCACTGATATTATCGCGTCCTTATCAAGCAACGATCAAGGATAATTTGGGAATCCACTGAAAAAATGTCTTTCGGTCCTTTTCTCTCCCTAGTTGTTTTTGTGTCTGCTAAATAGTTCAACCCACATTCCTTTGGCCTCTATATATAAATAACCTCCACGGCACCTCAACTAACTCAACTAAATCTTAGATCTCCTCACAATCTTCATATATAGTCATATTACCTATTCTTCTCTCTCTCTCTCTCTCTCTAACGTGTAGACTCACTCTTCTATATATCAGCATTTGTATACTATTCAGTTGTAGCAATGGATTCAGTGATGAGCTTGGTTGGTGAAAATCCTGCTGTGATCTTCAGCAAGAGTTCTTGTTGCATGTGCCACACAATTGTGCAACTGATACGTGGTTTCGGGGCAAACCTGACAGTTTATGAGCTCGATCAACTTCCAAAGGGGAAGCAAATTGAGAGGGAACTGCTGGCTTTAGGGCGTAACCCGAGCGTACCAGCTGTGTTCGTAGGACAGAAGTTGATCGGTGGTGCTAATGAGGTGATGGCTCTCCATGTCCAGAACGAGCTAGGCCCAATGCTCATCAAGGCTGGTGCTATATTTTTTTGGAAACGTGAATAAATAACAAAACCAAAACTCTGGTACAATGTTATTGTGACTGTAAGTAGCTAGCGGCCTTTGCTTTAGTAATAAATGAGCACACAAAAGACACCCTATATAAATAAGCAGGACGCTTCGTTTTGTTGTACAAAGCACCATCACAGCTTATGTTTAACTTCTATATGTATTTTCCTTTCGGTTCTACTAAATAATGTGATACTTAGCTAATTACTTTATGTTTTTTAACATTAATTTCGTAGTTGTTTCTTACATATGCACATGCATGCATGTCAAAAAAATGTAGAAGATATAGAATTTTAAGAAACACACCAATCTGCAGGCAATGGTTATGGCACAGTGAACTGCACCTTTGGCAAATTTATACGCTATTATGGACAGAATTATTATTTAATTAAATAAAATTTAACATTATATAATTTTAAAAGAAACATGGCATACAAGTTGCTACACTTGATTATAACAAGTGAGGTAGGTGTGGGAACAACATCCTTCACACTATACCATACTGAGGCAAAATAGTTTTTCTTAATAACTATAATTTTATGGGGTTAAAATTGGTTAGATTTATTGTGTAATGGTAAAAGTTCATATTGTGATATATGAAAATGCATATCCTAGCGTGACACAATCACTTTCCAACGGTTAGGTTTGCACCCAACCCATCCTTAATATCTTCTATTAATATGAATTATGCTAGTTGGCATCAATTTTGCAATTTAAAATTTCAATATGCCTCTACATAAATACTTTATTTATAACCAACCTACAAGGGCTGTTATATATATATATATTTAAAGAAAATCAATAACACTACCAATTTGGTCTCTTTCAAAGAAAGTGAAATTATATGCCCTCAAACAAGAAGGCCAAATTGCACTAAACCCCACTGCACTATAAAAAAGTTGCAAAATACCCCCCTTTACTATTGATTTTTTTTTTTTTTTTTTTTTTTTTTTTTTTTTTTTTTACAGAAAACACCCTCAATTTTACCAAAAGTTACAAATTACCCCTGAAGCACAAAAGTTGCAATTCTGGATTTAAAGCATCGCATCCTTACACAATGGCCTATTGTTTTGACGAAAATACCCTTACGCATGCCCATTTCGTCAAAAAAAAATCAGCCCATGTGTAAGGGTGTGTTGCACGTGACCACTTTAAAACCAAAATTCCAACTTTCATCTTCAACGGAGGTAATTTGCAACTTTTGGAAAATTGAGAGTGTTTGTTGCCAAAAAAAAATAGTAGAGGGGTTATTTTGCAACTTTTTGATAGTAAAGGGGGTTTAGTGCAATTTGGCCAAACAAGAATGAAATCCATTACAAACGGAAAATAACCTTCAGTAAGGGTGCAATCAAGAGACTGTGAAGTTGTATATTGAGGGTTTCTTTCAACTCATTCTGCACATTGCAATGAATTTCAGAGAGCATAAATGCTAAGAATTCTTCGCAATCTGTCTTCTAATTTTTTAAGTGACTTTTCTTATATTCTTTTATCCTTCTAGTTTAAAGTGAATTTTATCCTATACACAATATCACTTCTCTTGTATTTTTTACAAAGTTCGATCTGAGAGAAGCCAACTAAACCAAGTGTGAAGTGATCGCGATAAATCATGGTGTAATATACATCTTGTCAGGCCCTGCCACTACTCTAGCATGCTTCAAGTGCTCTTTTCTATCTCGTACATTATTCCATGTTGCTCAATTTCAATCCCCTCATTTCTTCCAAGTTATTCCAATTCCCAGTCTTTCAAGCGCTATGGTCTTACCATTTTCCTTTACTCTAGTTACCTCCTACCACTCAAGGAACTCAAAAGCAAACACATCCATAGAATAAATCATTCACTAACTTTGATCAAGAACTAAAATTTCAGACATCCAGTAACTCTGTCCAAAATTTCTCAAACCACATTGTGGTATTGCCTGGTAGATATAGAAACTTATACTCTACCAGCAACAGGGTGCAACTAAATTTTCTCATAATTTTCTAGGCGTTGTCATTAGTTCTATTGGTTTAATGTAGGAGACTCTTTTTAGTTCAATGTCAAAAAATAAAAAATAACAGATCACTAAAGTGAACAAAAGCAGCGTGTAACCATACTTGTTCATTATTTGTTTACTAAGGTTCATTATTTGTGTACTAAGCTCATCTGAAGATTGGAAGTATAGACAAAGGGGAAAAAAATGACATTGTTGAAACTGGAAGACTTATAACATGGCAAGAAAAACCTTTTAAGCAAAGAAACATAATGCACTTGCCTAGAAGTATCACATTAATGATGCACAAACTTATCCCCCTTGACAACTGTTCTCAAATATGCAAATCATATAGAAGAATAGATATTGTGCTCACTGTGTTGTTCAATCTTGTAGAATGGCCTGTCATAATGTAAAATACATACACATATAAGATGTGTGTGTGTGTGTGTGTGTAATAGAATAGAGATTTGCACCACGAACTGTTTAAGATCACCATAAACTTATGCTTATGGGAGTCTTTAGCAGACACTAAAACTAAATCAAAAGTCATTTCTTCCATCACAAGAAGATAAAGATATTAAAACAAAATCATTATGGTTCTCATAAATGATTTGCTAGGAATCAATGCTCTAACATCATAATGAAGACTGTGAAGAGCTTACATACAGAATCATTTTTCTTTGATCACTTCAATCGTAAAATACTGAAGCCACAGTATTCTCTCATTTATCGATTTGATCTTTCAAGATGGGGCTACTCTGCTCCATGTTTGCATTCCTTTGCCAATTTTCTAATGCTCTTTTAACAGTAGCATTTGCCTCACGTGTCTCTTCGGCAGAGAACTTGTGTTCTATAATTCCCAAAGGGCCAGGTTGTAGTACATTGATCACAGTTTTCATCTCCTGCTCCAGCTGCCTGGAAAAGAAGAAACAACAGGTAATTTGTTGTTAACAATAAAAACCACAAGTGTTATCGAAGTATAATTTGTCCATCGTATAAAAAGACAAGGAAATTATTTTCCCCTTTTTATGCTAAACTATACAGAGGAAAAGAGACAAGCAAACACCGACAGATCCAAAAGAAGGGAAAAGAAAATAACAGCCCAAATTCAACGAACATAGAAACCACATTCAAATGCACATAATCAACAACTTGGGTAGGAAGATCTCGGCACTTAGTACTCCTGATAAGTTGTTTTTAACCATTCATACAAGAACAATATTGATCTGTGAACATACTAGTGTGTGTCATTCTTCATTACAAGGGAGGATGGCATGAATTAGTTTCAATCATATTATGACAGGGAGTTGCAGATTAGGTTACTCAAAATTTTAAATTTGATAGAATATGCCTGAATGTGTGTGGGGTTCACTTCTGAAACTATGCAGAAGAACAGTACATCATTATCTTTAAGATGCAAAAAAATTCTTATTTACATTAGGAAATCTGTTGGATAGCAATTAATCATAAAACGATCTAGCAAGTGCTCATAGAGATCTTGCTTGCAATATTTACACATCTCGGGTGGTGGCATGTTTTTTTTTTCTTCTCAATTGTATTTAAGATACAGTAAGTAGTGAAACAAATGAAAAAGTTAATCAAGAAACTTTTCTTAGACTAATTTATGTAGATTCTTTTTTCAATCAAGCAACTTTTCTTAGACTAATTTATGTAGATTCTTTTTTCTTTTTCCTTTGTTCAACTAAAATATAATATTATATGGGGCTATCATCTTGAATGGACCCATCTAGAATAGGCAACTTCCCTGTATTTCTTCCTATGTGGTCTATGATTTTGAATATCAGTTTTGAGAAGGCTGCCAATTTCACCCAAAAGATCCATTCAAGCTGATGAATTTCTACGTTACGGGACCATTCAATTCAAGAGGACATTCCAACAAATTATGCAATCTTTATCAATTAAAATTTCTAGTTATATTAGATAGCAATGTAGAAAGTAAATGCTCCTAAGTGGACTAAATTACAGATTATGAATGCTTAATCAATAAAAAATTTTGAAGTAATATAAATACATACAGATATGTATGTATATATATATATATATGTGTTAAAACAAAGAATGTCACAGAAACATACAGATTTAACCTCTCTCAACATCAATACACAAAGTTACAAACAGTTGGGTGGCGTACTGGCGTTTCCCCGGAAAAACCCAAAATAATCACAATGCTGATAATTTGGTTTGAAAGGGGAGGATGTAACTGAAGGAGTACAATAATTAATAAGTTTCAGGCTTAGACGATTAATATTCATACGGACCATATCGATGAGGGAATAATATATACAGATCCTTATATGTACATATGTGTGTGTATACATACAGAGAGAGAGGTACCTGAAGACTCTGGAAAACGGTAAAGAGTTGCCGATTCTCGCAAAAGACATTGGTTTGTTGATGAACGAAATTGAATATTTCTGCCCAAAACAGAGAGGAAGAGAGAGAGGATTTGACAAGGTTCCATTTTGCTTGTACAGATTATTTATGACCTTTGAAGTGGAAGAGAAGAACTAAAACGGTGCGTTTTCGTGTATAAACCCCCAGACGGTGTCGTCTAATGAAGGCGGTGAAGACGGTGGCATCTCAGAAATTGTTTCATTATAATTATACCATTGAAACAAAAGAACACTCCGTAATATTTTATAAACTATTTATTTTCTAATATTAATTATAAATATGACATTCGCACCTTGATTCTTTTTATTGGGGAAAAAAAAAAAAAAAAAAAAAAACATAATAGCTCTTCAATAGTTATGTTTAAAAGTACTTTTTAAAATACTTTTGAAAGTCACAGAAAAAAAATTAAAAAATTCATCTAAAGGTCAATGTGTATTTACTATTTTTTTATTTTGAAAAAAAAAAGAAAAGAAAAGCAAAGTATGCAGTATTTAGATTGGGTTGAAGTTTGGTTTTGGAATTGAGCTGGGCAGGGATTTGGATCTCTCCAATCATTTTTATAAGTGCATGTTATGTTTTGACTTCATAATCAGTTTTATTTTAAATTTTTTTTTTTTAAATTTTTTTTCTTCTTAGAACACGTGTATCAATTTCATAACACATGTATCATTTAAGTTAGGAGTGCAGTTCAAAAGCGATACCTCAATAACTTACCTTTCGAATCCCTACCAATACCATTATACCTTTGAAGCATTCCAATAAGATGTTAATGTGGTGTTGTTATAACCGTTAAATATTGCTTTGAAATTTTAAAGAGATAAATTATTGAAAATGACAATGCCTAAACAAGAGAAAATAAATATATAATTTTTTTTGGATTTTCAAGAAGCATACCATGCGACGTTGGCATTCTTATCTCACCTAACATGACATGTGCACAAAATACTCCCAAATATTAATTTGTTGCAAATAAGTAATACCTACCATTATATGTCTAAATTTCCCACATTGAACATTTTACATATTATTTTGTTAAGAAGGTTATTTTTGTAAAATAATGAAAAGTAACACCTAACATTATTTTTGTGACATTTTTTTTTTCTTTATTTTTGTGAAAAAAAAAATGTGACATGTTGTGTAAGTAATGTTTCAATACATAATAAAAAATAAAAAATTAGTTTGTGTGTGATTACTTAAAGATGATATTTAGTATATGAATATTAAAAATGGTCTTTTAATATTTAATATATTATTATGGAATAATAAATATATATATATTTAGAAATCATACTTTTTACTTTTTTAGATGGAAAGTTAGAGTTTTGTATTATAATTTTGTTTAAATATTAGATAATATAACTAATCTACCTATTTTAGGAGGGCATTAAACATGTAGAGAAAAATTTCATACAACGAATTTATATTATTTTAAAATTTTAATTTTACATTATTTGTTTTTCCATTGTATTTACTTTTTGAGATGAAAAGTCATAATTTTGTATTAGAATTTTGTTTAAGTATAAAAAAAACAATCTCTTACAATGATTTTATATTATTCTAAAACTTTAATTTTATATTATTCTTACATAATTGGGGTATTTTGTTTAAATTTGTAAACTTGGGAGGCAATTGAATGGAGTGGGACTCTCTACTCGTCTTTATTGCAAACGGTGGTGCAAATTACCAAAAAAATAAAAAAAGGGAAAAAATTCCTTATTTTCAAGAAGCAATACTGATAGCTATAAATAGAGAACATTGGCATTCTCTTATCTCATACTCCGTTAGAGAGGCGACAGCGACAAGCTTTACTGATAGAATCCACACATGAATAGCTTATCGACGAGCTTCACTGCTCGACTCTGTCCATGTTCGAAGCCATTTCCGTTACGACGCCGTTCCTGCTATCTATCGAGAAGATCAGTGATCTTTCGACCCTCTCCAAGCCCCAATGTTCCAAGAAGAATCGTTTGCATGGCGGTTTGTACAATTTCAAAAATATTCTTTTGTTTTTGGAACCCAGAATAGTAGTTTTTTTTGCAGTCTTTACTTATACTTTCCCGTTTGGTTACCATGAAAAAGAAAAGAAATGAGGTTTCTTAGGGTTTAAAATTGAAATTTCAGTTTACCGTATCATTCGTTGGGTTTTGGAACCCAGAATCGTCGAATTTTTTTTTTGGGTTTTTGTTGCTGTTGTTGTGCTCCTCCATTTGGTTACCAAGGAAAAGAAAGGAAAAGGGTTTCTTAGGGTTTAAAATTGAAACTAAACAGATTGATGGTCTTTCAGCATTATGTGATTCTGTTTTTTAAGTTGGTTTGTAAAAAATTCAATTGCAGGAGCCTTATCTAATATCAAAATTGGAATCCGCTGAGAAAACGTGGAAAGAATTGTCGGTACGCTTCCAAATTTTAATATTGATCGTTGATGCAAATCTTTGTCCTCATCCGCATTAATGTTTACATTATCATTTTGTTTGTCAAAACCCTTATACACCCATTCAATAATGATTGCAATTTGCACTTGATATAAAAAGATTGGCCAAGAAACTGGACCTTTACCCTTTTTTTCTTCCTACTCCTCTAACTTTTAAAACTATGTTTGGAGTGAAATAGTCTTTTACAAAGGCAAATATCAGACCGTGCACAGTCCCAAGTGGATACAAATGAAGTGGATAAACGTAATCTTAAACAATAAATTTTAGGGTGAGTAGATTAGCATTGTACAGTAAAGTATGATCTCAACTTCTAGCATTTTCGAAAGAAGTGATAATAAATGGAAGAGATTAATGTTATTACATCCACTTTAAAATTTAAATAAAATTGTGGTTCAATTCAAACTTGACTTCTGAAATCATACTCTCTTGATAGGCTTCATTCTAAGCAATTTTGTTCCTGTACATCAAGCTTTTGTCTCGGTGTTTGTGTACCTTTACAGCATACAGACATTAGCCAACGCAGAAACCTAATTCAGATGGACTTTTTGCACATTTTACTAATGAAAACCATATTTAAGTGAATAAAGGATACACACACATTCTTCTATACAATAAAAAAATATATCTACATAAACAAAATCCATGTCCACTACAATCTATTGTGATGGTGCTACTTTGATAGTAGGTATAATTGTACACTAAAGATTTGAAATATTATAATATCAATTGTAGGTCAAGTTGGCTGATCCGGACGTAGTCTCAAATCCCAGTGAATACCAAAAATTGGCACAATCTGTGTCAGAGCTTGATCAGGTACTGTAGTTTTAGATTGTCATCATGCTTTCACGAGACACTTTTTTCTCTGTTGTCAGTTCTGTGTTGTTGAACTAGTAGGTTGTGTCAACGTTCAAGATATTCAAGGATTGCGAGAAACAATTAGAGGAAACAAAAGGTTATCTTTACTTCTATTCTCCCACTTTTGAAAAATAGAGAAATATTTTCTTAGAGCAATCTTCTTCATGCCAGCTTTAGCAAAAGAGGAAGGCAATGATGAAGATATGGTAGAGATGATAACTTCAGAAATTGAAACCTTGTCCAATCAACTCGGAAAGCTTGAGGAAAAGCTTAAGGTATTATCTACATTTTATTTTTATATTTTTATTCTTTCAAAGTTAAATGTTATTTTGCTTCCCCCCTCCCCCCACCCACCCCCCCCCCCCCCCCCCCCCCCTCCTTTTTTTTTTCTTTCTCAAATTGTGATATTTCATCCTACATAACTAGGTATTGTTGCTTCCTAGTGATCCTCTTGACTCGAGAAATATACTGCTTGAAGGTAAGTTTCCTTTTTCTTCTGTTAGTAGATGGTTATGTATTATTGTGGATCACTCTCTTAACATATATTTTTTTTAATTTTATAAATAACTTAACTAAAGCACTCCATATAGAATTTTGCAGATCTCTTTCTTTCCTTTTTCTTCTTCTTTGCCCGCCAATGTTGCTTATACTGGGTAAAAAAGGATAAGGAAGTTTGCAACTAATAACTTGTTACTTCACCATGTCATTTAAAAAGAAGCAATATCAGCTTTTAAACATTGTTTAGCATTGCTTTACATTATCCCTCATATATCTAGTGTTCTACAGTCAACAAATTACTAAATTTTTGTATTTGAATAAACAATGGTGGACACTTGAGTTCAACACTTGCCCTGACCTTTGGAGGTGTTTGAGGCATAAACTTCAAGTGGCACTTTGGTGAGTCATTATTAAAATGTGCGAGACATATGATTGGGTGTTTGTTTCATGCTTTAAAAGATGTACATTCCATATGGAACATCGAGCACATAATGTGTTCACCTCAAAACATTTGTCAAATGCTTCATAAAGCTGGTGTTGAATCATTATAATTCAGAAAATCCTATGTGTCAGAACTGTAGATATTGTTCACTTTGCACGCTCTCCGTGCTCACGATTTTCAAAACTCCTCTACACAGTTAGAAAATGTCCATACATATACCTCTTTCCCTAGGTGATGTGAGACGTCACAATCACCCCCTCTAGGGACCTAGTATCCTAGCTGGCTTAACCCTCATGGGCTTGTGCACGCTACTTCCATTTTTCAGCTAGGGATTGGCTCTAATTCTATGTCTGTCATTTTTTAAGTCACACAGAGCGGGAGCGCGAGAGCTCCGAAATCTGAATTTCATTGAGAGCGGGAGCGTCTTTAAAGTGCCATATTATATACGATTTTTTAGTAATTGTATAATTGATTGACTAATTATTTTTACATTATGTATACAAAATATATACAATATCATGTTGGCTTACTATAAGTGAATAAATAAATAAATGATGAATAATTTACAAAAAATGTTTGATTTCTTGATGGATAGAAGCCTTATGTTCTCTAATTTGGTCTCAAGTTCAACAAGTAGCAGCTACATTTTTGCATGATTCTGATATGCACATGCACCAACCGTACAATATCATGTTGGGTTACCATAAGTGAATAAATAAATAAATACATGATGAATAATCTACAAAAAATGTTTGATTTCTTGATGGATAGAAGCCTTATGTTCTCTCATTTGGTCTCAAGTCCAAAACGCAAATTCACGTACAGAGAGATAGAGCGCTGGTAGTTTCAATGAGTTGTGTGACTAAGGTCATGACCACCTCACTGCATAGATATTGTTCGCTTTGCACACTCTTCGTGCTTATGGTTTTCAAAATGCAGCTACACAGTTGGGAGATGTCCACACATAAGTGCCAACAACCTCTCCCCCCAAGCAATGTAGGATGTCACACTACGCAATTTATATCTTGTTAGATTGAAATAGTCTAAAGTTGGTTTATGAAAGTGATGCTCGAGTTTTAGTAATCAGGACCAATTTTATTTCAATCATGAATGTGAATGTTCAAGACTTTCAGCTATCAAAAGTCATACATATCAAATCAACATATTATGCTTAATTTTTCGGATACAAATATTCTACTTTTTTATTTGTCACAGGAAGGGGCCGGTTGCGTGTTGCAATTGTAAAAGTTTGTGCTTACAAGTGTGAAAACATGTGTTCGAGTCTAAGAACAGTCACTTTGTGTGAAAATGATTCTGAAAGTGAGTTATTTTTGCGATCTTCCCATATTAATACCTTGTATAGGCGGGACCACTAATGGGTAATGGATTTGTCTTTTTTATTTTTTATTTAAACTTGTCATTGAAAGGTTGGCTTTCCAGGGTTCATGCTTCATGGCCTAGGCAAATGAATTGCTTGGTTTCTTGGATCTCCATATTTTCTTGGAACTCAATATTTGAAAGGTTGATTTTTTCTTCTATTTTTGTTGAAATTCGGGGAGAATCAGACCCAAAATGAGCATCAAAAAAATGGGAGATTCGTCGAAGCTAAGCTGGAGACTATAAAACTTGTTAGCAATTGAGTTCACCGAAAAAATCATGGAAATGGTTTTGGTACCGCCACAACAAGATTTGCCAATGGCGACGGAAGTGTGCGGCTTCACAAAGGAAGGCTTTTGATGCGAGAGACAAATAAATGGGTTTATGGTTCTAGTTTGTTTTGCGAAGGGATGGAAGACCATGTTGGTCCAATTAAAGAGGAAATATATCATCAATGATCCATATACATGCATAAACATGAAAAGCACAAGCAATACATATACAATATGCATACATATACTGATGAAAAACACAAAATGCAAGAGAATTAGAAGACGGTGCATAAAATGCAGATAGTTTGTTGGTCGCAATGGATATATATATGTTTGTGGTATATGTGCAGAAAATTGAAGGGTATTGAGTCTCAGCATAGAACAGTGATTTTGGGTTTATTGATTTGGTGTGTGATGGAGGCAACTTAGTGCTAAGAAAGATCAGTATGCGTGATTGAGGCAATCTAGGTTTGTAAAACATCACTAAAATTGATGAAGGGAAGGGACTGTTTGGCATAGAAAAAAACATAAAACAAAACAATCGTGACAAGGCTGGTGTGCTGTCACTTTTCTATTGGACATTGAAATTGTATTTGCCACATCAGCAGCTGAACTTGGATAAAACTCAAAACGACGTGGTTCAACTTTAGGGCTAAATGGTAATTTACTTTTTCTATTAGCGGCAAATTAACAGTTTGCAACAAAATGATAGTTCAAGGGGTTTTACTTACTTTAGGGGGTTTTCTTGCAATCGGGTCATAGTTCAGGGGGGTTTAGTGCTCTTTACCCTATGTTTATAGCATTGCATCAACAAGATTTGATCACCTCTAACTCTTTTTGTTGGTAGTTAAGGTGCCCAACATTGTTCTATTCAGTTGAACTTCTTGATGAGCCTCTGTTACGCATGTTGTTGTGCTACTCATGAGTTACTGTAGGGGCTGTCATTTTCAGAATAGTCTGCTTCCCACATAAGGAACTGCTTTTTGAATGTTGAATACCAAGTAGCTGGATTTTCTAATTCATCATTTCTATTAACCGCTTTACATGTCTTAATACCAATTATCAATTAATTTTTGTTGGCAACAGACAATTTGCTTTGCAAATGGTTTTGATAAACAAAAGCCATCTTGACTGTTTAACCTTTTCATTTATTTTTGTCAGTTATGCACTTAGAGCAGTCAAATTTCGTATTACTATACATTATGGAATAACCAAATTGTAACTTAAGTTTTATTCTTTTATTGCCCAGTGTGCATATACTTATGCTTTGTTTGGTAGGTAGGAAGGAAGAGGGTTGGAGGAAAGATAGGAAGGAAGGAACAAACTTTATTCGTTCGGTAGAGAGGAGATAAGGAGGGAAATGATAATGGGATGGATGAGTCATCTTTCCTCCTTTACAAATTTTAATCCCTCCAAATATGGATGGAAGAGAGGAGGGAAGACAAGTGGAGCTATTATAAAAGTTTTAAATTACAATTCTATCCTTCATTAATATTAAAAGTATAGATAGTGATGGGTATAATGTAAAAAACAATTTAAAATTCTCTCTTCCCTACTCTCCTAACGAACATAGTAAGTTTTCAGTTGCTTCTCCTCTTCCATCCAACCGAACAAAGAGGGAAATGCACAATTTCTCTCGTAGCGATGTCTCATCCATCCCTTCTTCTCTTCCTTCCATCCATTTTTTGTCCTTCTTGCCGAACGAAGCATTAGTTGAAAATGCATTGGAGATGATATTGTAACAATATATGTGGATTTTATGCAATAACTTTTCTTGGTCATGTTAATTTGGCACTAAGGTGCTGTTTGATAAAACTGAAAAAAAAAAAAAAAAAAAAAAGAGCTGAATTTTAAGTGCTCAAGTTTTTAAGTGAAAACTAAAAATAAAGATTTTTTTTGATATCTTTTAGAGATAAGTGAAGTCCCTGTTGCTTATAATTTTATCCCAATTTAAGTGGGGCTTAGCTTTCTTAGTGATGATCAAATTGTGTTATCAAACACACTTAACTAGATAAACACTTGATCCATTAAGAATTGATGCTGAATTGGTTTATCAAATAGTATCTAAGATTCTAAATGTGCAGGAGATGCTTGAGTTTCACTAAGTGCCACCTCGTTAATTGTTTTCTTGTGTTTGGGAGATCATGCTCTTTTCTTCATTTTCTTTTTCCATTTTACTGCGAATCTATAGATTTATAATTGATATCCTTGTTTTCAGTGAGGGCTGGTACCGGTGGTGATGAGGCAGGGCTTTGGGCTGGTGATCTTGTAAGTACAATTACTTCCATAATAGGGGCATGCAAAGATGATCTTGTTGCTTCTTCATATCCAAATCTAATAGTACATGGTTCTATTATAGAAATTCACTGTTGCATTTTAGTATCCACACATGCTGGCCTTGAAATTGATGTTTCATTCTTTGACATCAGAGAACCAATCATACAAAATAACAGTGGCTGGAACAATAGTATTTAGCTTATCAAAATTTGAACTTCTTGTGATTAGTTTCCATCCCCCTACTTAAGAAAACAACAGTGTATGTAGCCATAGCTGGACGGTTCTTGTGTTTCACCTTCCAATTTTTATGAAAGACTGAATCCTTGCACAGTGATTATTTGTTGGAGGGTTGAATGGCTGTTAATTATGGCTTAAAATCTGCACAGATAACCTTGTTAACGGAGTTTCAAGGAATAATATTGTTAACAGAGTTTCAGGAAAAAAGTTATTGTCGAGATTGAAATAGATTCTTTCCCTAAATCTTGATCTTCATTTTATCTCTAGAAATGGATATTAATCAGTCTTCTTTAAATTTGCTTCCTAAAGCACTCCATGTGTTCAATATCTGCTGTCCAAGCTAAATTATTTTTAAGTGCTTTAGGTCCGTATGTATCAGAAGTACAGTGAGAGGAATTCATGGAAATATTCCCCACTTTCCAGCTCCGAGGTAGACATGTAACTCAAACTTATTAAGAATACGCATATTAAAATTTTGTTGCCGGTGGCTAAATCTTCTTCTCTTTTTGAGACTGAAAAAGGAGGATTCAAGACATATGTGATGGAAGTCAAAGGAAGTCGTGTCTATAGCAAATTAAAATATGAGTCTGGCGTCCATCGGGTTCAACGTGTTCCTCAGACAGAAGCCCAGGGCCGTGTGCACACATCTACAGCAACTGTAGCGATCATGCCAGAGGTAGAGTTTGTCTCGCACATGAGTTGTATATGTCTGCATTATGATTAAGCTCTGAAATATATTATCTGTCGGTTTGGTTCTTAGGTTAACCCAAGTGACATTGACTAATTTAGTCTACATTTTTCACTGTAATTTTCTGTAATACCTGTGCATCTTAATGGTGTTACCTAGTAAATGTCATATTATGGAACAATGTCAGGTATTTAAGTTTCCTTGACATTGTCTAGTAGGGTTGCTTTCTGTGCGAAAAATTCTCTTGGAGATGGGAATTTTCCTGGGAATATGTCTTTTAGACTTAATGTTAAAACTGGAAACCCCCCACCAAATGATTGTCCTGATTAGTCCTTGGTGCTCCAATACGTGGGGTTCTGATTCCAGATTTACAATTACTGATGTTTATTAAAGTGTGCCTAGGAAACCAGGTATGCAATGTAATGATGAGATGTAGTTTGGAACCTCACATTCACTTAATGATCAAAATTTCTTGTTTTGTTTGCTTCTTTATTCGCTCTCCTAAGTCCTAAGTCGAGGTATCATTTCCTTTGCTTCCCCTCAATTCTCTGTCCTTATGTCACGTCCAATTTCAGGCTGATGAAGTTGAGGTGGTAATTGATCCAAAAGAGATAGAACTTACAACAGCAAGGTCTGGTGGTGCTGGAGGTAAGTATAAGTCATTGTCATAATCCCTGTATCAATTGAATCATTTTCTTTTATAAGGAATGAGAGGCTTCAGAACTTCTTTATTTCCCCATACTTGTGTACGCTATGTTTATGTTTCCCATAAACAAAAGCAATTTATTTATTTGCGTCATATCTCATGCAGGGCAGAATGTCAACAAGGTGGAGACAGCTGTTGATCTTTTCCATAAACCAACGGGAATTCGAATATTCTGCACAGAAGAAAGATCCCAGCTTCAAAACAGGATTCGTGCTCTTCAATTGTTGAGAGCAAAACTGTGAGAAATATTATCTCAAATTAGCTTATCACTTTTATGCTGTGTTTCATAGAAGTTAATTAAATCGGTGCTCGAATTTCTACGTAAAAATTGTTAAATGTCTAGGATAAACCATATATCGATCCATGCAAATTGCATAAAACTCCCTTTTGGGCCCGAAATGCTCATATATTTTTAAGGCCTACCTTTAAATTCTATAATAGGAATTAAGGTTCTATCTTTTATCCCAATTGAAAATTAGTTCTATCCATCTCCAATATGCAATACATTCAACTGGTTAGATTTACTTGGGATTTAGAAAGAAATATTACAAGGTAAGAACTTAACTAACTTTTTTGAATTTTTGATGAATTTGATTACATAGGACTAACATTGAAACCCACCAACTTGTGAACTAATACAATTTGATAGTACTTTGATGAATTATATTTAATATCAAGATTCAACACAATATTTTAATACATTTTGACGAAAATACATATGCTATGTAAGTCCAAAATTTTGGAGTATGTAACCGTTTCTTATTGTTGTGCATCTTTTCCTACACACACAACACATGTTTGTAACCTATGCATGTTAGGGTTCCACACATGTGAGGGAGCTTGTCAGTTATGCTCCATTTGGTATAATGATGGAAAATGAGGAGTGAAGGTAGGAGGGAAAGAAGAGGCATCTGTAGCGTTAGGAAGGGGAAATTCCCTCATTTGTTTGATTGAGCATGAGAAGAGAGATAAGAGGAATGAAGCATAGGGCTACTGTATGATTTTGCCACTATACTCTTTTATATTAGAAATGGTTTCTTAAAGGGAAGTAATGTAAAATAGCAGGGAACTTCTTTCCCCACATCCTTTTATAAGAATAAAATAGTGTGCCCCAGTGGAGGGGGCTTTCTCCTCTTTTCCTTTCCCTTCTCTTCTCCATCCTACCAAAATGAAGGACAGTCTCATTTTCCTTTCTTCCATTCATCCTCCCTTTTATCCTTTTCATTTTAGTGCTCTATGGTTCATGGTTGGTTATGTGGGGGTCCTATGGACTCTGCCATGTTCAATACCCATTCCATTATTTTCTCAAGTTTTGATCAATATAATTAATGCACTAATCTTCTAATGCCTTATAACCTGCGTTCACTTGAGAGATCTTTTCGCTTCAAGAGACACCAGATCTTATTCCTAATTCAAACTTGTTGAAAAAACAAAAAATTGAAGAGAGAAGTTAAGCATGAAGAACACAAGAATATAACGTGGTTCGGTCACTTCGGCCTACATCCACAGCACACAAAGCCCAAAGGGCTACATCTCTTTTTTATTGTATTCTCTTATAATTTTGTTTACATTGGTCACCTCTATTTATAGGTAAAAGAATACAAATATGTGATAAATATGAAAAATATAGTGATGGAAAGATTCCTAAAATCAATCCCATGAATCACTACAATCAATATTCTATCAAAGGCTTTAATCACCCCTATAATTATATTCTGTAACACTCTCCCTCCCTCAAGGTACACAGAGATTGTAACTAATTTTACCAACTTAAAAATAAATACAAAGTTGTCAAGAGTCATTGGTTTCGATTTGTCACCCATGATATCCGAGATGAGGAGAGCGGAACAAGTGCAGAGTAGGGTATATTAAACCTGCTCTGATTCCATGTTGAATAAACAAAAAATTGGAGAGAGATACTAAGCATGAAGAACACAAGAATATAACACGGGTCAACCTACATCCACGGCACACAAAGCCCAAAGGGCTACGTCCTTTTTTTTTTAGTTGTTGTTATTATTATTATTATTATTATTATCATGTTTCCTCTTAATTTTGTTTACAATGATCACATCTATTTATGGTGAAAGAATACAAACAAGTGATAAATATGGAAAACATGTTTGATCAAAATATTCCTAAATCAATCCCATGAATCACTCCAATCAATATTCTATCAAAGGCTATGATATTCTCTAACAAAATTGCTTATAGTTTATGGATGCACTGTCCAACCATGCAGTCTTTTCCTAGCTACATATAAATGTATTTTTTTTGGGGGTTAGTATATGTACCCACATGCTTTAGTTTCAAATTCTTATCCAAAATTACTTGTTTGTTCATATAATAATGATCATTTTATATGCAAGAATGTCTAATGATTATGACATTGTTCCAGGTACGAGATCAAATTAAGGGAGCAGCAAGTGATGATAAGGAATCAAAGAAAAATACAGGTTTGATGTCTTTGCTCAAAGAATTTATAGCATATGAATGATGAAGTTGCATATCAGAGAAGCAATCAGGCTCTATTGACATGTCATGGCTTGACTTAACATGCTACTTCACGACTCTCACACACGCATCCACTATCGTCCCTATGTAGACTTGCCCCCAACCTCCCATATGGGAAGATAAAGGAGATATCACTTGAGCTAAAGCCTTGGTAAGAATTTTTTTTTTTTTTCTTTTTTCCCCTTGCTTCATAATCTACATGCATAAATTGTTTACTTTTTAACGTACTGAACTTTTATGGAAAAAAATAAATTACTTCAAATTATTAGGAAATTCTGTGATATTTCATAGTTTGCTCATAAATCACGTTCTTCATGTATGCAAATGGATGGTACTCAACTTAACAAAGCCTTTTCCAACTACTTGGGGCTGGCTATTTGAATGGATGGTGCTAATAAAAAAAAAAAAAAAATCATCAGAATATTATTGGTCTCTAACTACGGTGTGAACTACTCATATCAATTGCGTATTTTATTTATTTTATTTTTTGTAAATGCGATCAAAATATCTGTCCTACGTCACACACACACACACACATTGGGTGTAATTCCTTATGGATGGGGGTGGGCGGTGTGGAATATGCAGTCTGTTATTGCATACTCTTTTTTTATTTTTTTGGTGAACAGCAAATCCTGGAGAGGGTATCAAAAAGTTGCCGCAGGGATAGAGCCTTAAGCATTCTCATGTCGTGTTTTTAGGCCCTAAGTTAGAGTGCTCGTCTAATTTATTTCTAAAATGGCAGGTTGGTACAGGAGCTCGTGCAGAAAAGATCCGGACATACAATTACAAGGTCTTAAATTATATTTTATCGACTTGAGCTTAATATAGCATGTTTCTATTTTGTTTGTCTCTGTATTTTTCCCCCCTTGTTTATAGCATGATAGGTATAAATTTCACCGTACTCATGTCCCCATTTTACTGCTAATCAGAAACTATTACCTTAATACGTATTTGAATGTTTGTCAGGTTGGCTTCTCACTATAATATCAAGACGGTGACATTTGTTGTTAAGGATAATGTTGATTTGAATTCTGTTTCAAACTGAAATTTGGTAGTTAATATGGGAAGTCATAACACTTTTTTTTTTGGTTCGCACCAGGACAATAGAGTTACTGACCACCGATTGAAGATGAATTTTGAGCTTACATCATTTCTTGATGGTGATATTGAGACAGCGGTACAGGTACATGATATGACCAGATTTTTTTTGGAATATAAACATTCCTACCACCTAAATGCTTTTTTCCTCTTTCAGTCTTGTGTTGCTATGGAGCAGAAGGAACTACTGGAAGAACTCTCTGAATCAGTAGGCGCATCAGTTGGCTGATATTCACAATCTTGTAACAATGTCTTGGACAATGACAGTTGAACGCGGAATGCCCATGGATGCTTTCTACTTGAACAAACAATGGAAGTACAGACTGTACAGTAGTGTCATGGGCAGTAAAGTTGTTCGTAAATGTGACACTTCCATTCACTTTTTTTTTTTTTTTTTTCTCCGTTTCACAATCAGAGATGTGTTGAGGCCTTAGATTGTTTAATTATTATGGCAAAGAAACATTTCGGGCTTACACACTACTACTTAGCATCACATCAGAGACTAGGGGTTATATGAGAAACCTACTTGGGGCTAAAAATTGAAACTGAATACTTTTAATGATTTGTATATTAAATACAGTTTTGTTTTTTGTTTTTGTTTTTAAGTTTTGTTTTGTGTTGTTTTATTTTTTCTCTCCAGTATATTTATCAAGTATAGATAATATAGAAAACCAGTATTCATTCCCTCTCAAAGAGCCTCTCAAAATTAAAATTTAGAATGAAAATAATACATTTTAATGAGCTCTCAAAATATTTTTTATATTTTAAGATTGTCAAAAGTATTGTTATATGTATAACAGTTTTTAAAAAAATTTAAGCGGTATATTTTTTTTTCATATTTATTAAAATATAATAGGTGAATAAAAATAATACACTTTAAATAGCATTTTAGATAAAATACATCATTAAAACAAAATTATTAAATATAAGATTTTGGCATTGTAATTCATGTCAAAATATAACTTTGACCAAAAAAAAAAAAAATTAACATTTTGCAGATGCTGAGGTGTCCAAAAATTATGTGCTGGATCAATCGGTGATTGTCTAAGAATCAGTCACATTGAATACCCCCTAATATAACGATCAATCCAATTGGGGTTTAGGCGGATTTGAGATGCCATCTGACCTATATTCTTTACGGGTGAGTTTTTATTACAATTCAACCACTCGTAACAATGTTTTGTGTGTTTCGATGTGTTAGATTGTTGCCAATTAGAAACTTAGAAAGAGTGCAATAGATTCATCACCGCCGCTCAATCTATTACTTCTTAGATGCATTGCGTGAAAATGCTCTACAAATCAACACTCTTTCACGGTCTCTACTAGTCTCATAAACTCATCTGAAACTGCTACCTCTGCATCAACTTTCACACCCATTTCGTCAAAGAGTTCCTCAAATCAAGATTCATATACGGTCTCTTACCTCATAAATTCATGTGGGTTGTCTCCAGAAACTGCTATTTCTGCTTCTGAGAAAATACACTTTGAAACCCCAGAAAAACCAGACTCAGTCATTAGGCTACTCAGAAACCATGGATTCTCCAATACCCAGATAGCCCTTCTTGTGAGGAAACGTCCACTGCTGCTTTTAACCAATCCTGTTAAAACCCTTTTGCCCAAACTTGAGTTTTTTCAGTCTATTGGGGTTTTAAGATCTGACCTCGCAAAACTTATTTGTGCAACCCCAAACCTCTTGGCAATAAGCTTAGAGAATCAGATTGTACCCAAGTATAATTTCCTCAACAGTGTGCTTCAATCCAATCAAAAGGTTTTTGCTGCAATTAAGCACACAGATTCAATATTTCTGGCGGATCATGCGAAGAATCTTCTTCCAAATATCGCGCTTCTGAGGGAACTTGGGGTACCAGTGTCTTGTATTGTACTGTTACTGTCTAATTTCACTGTGTCTATAATGCAAAGACATGGACAGTTCAGTGAAATTGTTACTGAAGTCAAGGAAATGGGATTTGACCCATTGAAGTCGACATTTGTGCTAGCATTGCATGCCATTTCAGGGACGAGTACTAAGTTGAGATGGAATCGATGTTATGAGGCATATAAGAAGTGGGGTTCGTCCAAGGATGATTTTCTCTTAGCGTTCAGAAACCGCCCGCTTTGTATGTGTTTGTCAGAGAAGAAGATAACGAAAACAATGGACTTCTTTGTGAAACAGATGGGGTGGCAGTCCACAGCGATTGAAAGATACCCATCAGTTCTCTTTTTCAGCTTGGAGAAGAGGATTATCCCTAGGTGTTTGGTTATCCGAGTCTTGACATCAAAGGGCTTGATAAAGAAAGATTTGAGTGCGAGTACTTTTTTGATGCCAGGGGAGAAGTGTTTCTTGGAGAGGTTTGTGACCAAAAATGAAGAGGAATTACCTGAGCTATTGTCTGTCTATCAAGGGAAGGTGGATGCTCTGGAATTATAATTGCGAATTCAGGTGAGATTTCGAAGTAGTACTTTATTTTATTACTGATATAACTGCTGGTTTTTGACACTTAACTATTACTGTAATTTTCATCATCACAAATTCTATCGTACGAATTGTTAACACAGTTGTGCTGTTGGACTTTCGGTTTTGCTACTTCTTTTTGAATCCACTAAGGATGAGCTTTCCAGTTCTCATATAGGACATGCATGTTTTGAAGATGATTATTTCAGGAAGAGTATGAGTAAGATCAGTGATAGGACAATTTAAGGGATTGCAAAGCAGTCTTGTTTTATATACTCAACCTCAATGATCTATCATACCTGATAATTTATAGAGAGGACATGTTTCTGACTTTCTGTATGGAACCATGTACTGGTAGTGTGGTACTAATTTTATCGAGAACCTATATCTCACTCTAAGGGACCCACATAGGTGACGCAGGTAAAGAAGATGGTAGACCCTCGTGCTAAAACTATGTTGATCTCTTTGGCACTTTTCACTCAAGTTATATTACATATTCATTCATATATAATTATGAAAAAACACATCAATTCAATGATCCTTGACCATTGAGTTGGCTATTATTTTTCAAATATTCAAGATTCTATTATTCTTTATATATATATATATATATATATATATATGTAATAATCTCTTACTCACCGGTGAGCAAGAAATTTTTCCGCACCATACATACTAACCATTATATGTTAAAAAAGTAGTTACCAAAATAAGATAGCAATGACATTCAACGATCATCATGCATGGTGCGGATGAATTTCTTGCTCACCGGTGAGCAAAAGATTCTTTCAGTGTGTGTGTATATATATATGATCGATAATTTGAAGAGGACTAGTGTTACGGGATTTGAACCTTGACAAGCTCCCTGACAGCCATGGGATGCTATCAGCGTGCACTGGGGGTGCCCAGTGGCATTTTCGTAAATATGGCGAAAAAGTGAAGCTTGGAGTTTTGGCTCGGGATCTTTATGGGAGGTTCCTTGAATTCATAGAAGATGGTTGGCGCAGACAGCACTCGATTTGGATGTCGTGCACTCTGAGACATTTATATGTGGGTGCAGATTAGTGGGCTTGGCACGGGCTAAGTTCACAAGGTTGGCTCAGATGTTGCTTAGAGCATGGACCACACGAGTCATGGACGTGTGGCATAGTCAAGTTAGGGACATGGGCACAAGGCAGTGGGCGTAGGCAAGGCTCAGCGTGCAAGGTTGGCTCAGGGGACTCAGACATGGCTTATGGTTACAGAAGATGGTTAAGTGGGCTCAGGTGGTTGGGGGAAGTTACACTTCCCACTAAGTGGGCTCAGTTGGTTGGGGGGAAGTTACTAATACTTCCCACTAAGTGGGCTCAGTTGGTTGGGGGAAGTTACACTTCCCACTAAGTGGGCTCAGTTGGTTGGGGGAAGTTACTAGCACTTCCCACTTATGTGGGGAGTGGGGGTGTGCTGAATAACTTCCCATCCATGTGGCACAGATTTGAGAGGACAACACACAGGCAGTTAGAGGTGGTTTCTTCCACTATGCTGAGTGCAACTTCCTGTGGACACGTGGCATGAGCAGAGCATGCCAACAAGCTAGTAGTTGGGCTTGTCAACTACATATGTAGTGTTGGCACACTGAGTGGGTGCCAACATGACCCTAGGTGGATGGGGGTGTCATCCATCACTTTAGTGGGTAGTTGTGGGTGGATGGGGGTGTCATCTACCACTTTAGTGGGCAGTTTTGAGAGTTTGCTTATATATTGCTCATGTGGGTTCCGTTGTGACAGCAGATTGAGAGTGAGACACAGAGTTGTGTTGTGAGAGACTCTTGTATGCTTCTGCAGGTTGAGGCCTTTCCTTGTACTGTTTTGTGAATAATAGTAAAAGGTTGGAAGCCTTGTGCTTCTGTAAAATCGTGAGTGTTATTGTCTTTACATTCTTGCAATTATACTTGTGTGTGAGAGTGTTTTACTTGCTGTGTGTTCTAGGCAGCAAGTGTGAGTTGGCTGAGCTAAGTTAAAAATTCAGAGAAAAGTTGTTCATATTTTTAGCTTAGTGCCATCACAGGCCACTAGATTCGTGTTAAGAATTTACCCCTGTGACAATTGGTATCAGAGCCTAGAGTTGGGTTCATCATGGCTGGTGGTAATGCTGCAGAAGCTCTTAAAGATCGTGTGACTTGTTTGGAGGCCTTGGTGGGTGCTCCACAATCTGACGATGTTGCTGCCTTGACGGAGCAGATGGAATTGTTTGTAGTTGAGTTGCAGACAATACGATAAATGCTCGAAGAGTTTGTGGGGGAGACAAACTCAAAGATGCAGATTATGACGGATGATGTGATATTCATGACAGACCTCTTCAAAGATCATGTGTAGGATTTGGAGGGCGAGGTGGCTCTGTTGAAGAGGGCCATACACAATCGGACTGTTATGGGAGAGAAGCCATCATCTTCCAAAATCAAAATTCCAGAACCAAAGTCATTCGGGGGCAAGAGGAGTGCCAAAGATCTGGAGAATTTCTTGTGGAATATGGAGCAATATTTTCGAGCAGCCCATATTCCAGATAATGACAAGGTAATTATTACCAGTATGTATTTGTCTGGTGATGCTAAATTGTGGTGGCGAACTCGAGTGGAGGATGAGTTACGCCCAAAAATTACTGCATTTGCAGAGCTGAGGAAAGAACCTAAGGAGCAGTTTCTTCCAGCAAATTCTGGCTGGGTGGCTTGGGAGTCATTGAGGAGACTCAAGCATATGGGTACAGTACGTGAATATGTGAAAGAGTTCACATCTTTGATGCTGGATATCAAAGATATGTCCAAGGGGGACAAATTGTTTAATTTCATGGCAGGCTTGCAATCATGGGCACAAATCGAGTTAAGGAGGAGTAGTGTGATCGACCTCTCTTCTGCTATAGTTGCAGTAGACAACCTGGTGGACTTGCAGATTGAAAAGTCTGACTCTACTATCGCCAGCAAACTGAAGAAGAAGGGCAAGTTCGGTGACAAGCCCAAGAGGTATAGTGTTGCTGAGGAAGAGAAAGACAAAAGGAAGCCAGAGGCGACGTTCATCCAGCAGAGGCCAAAGCTGGACAGTGGTTGCTTCATTTGCAAAGGTCCACACAGGGCGAGGGACTGTCCTAAAAAGGAGAAGGTGAATGCTATGGTTGCTGAAGAAGCCAATGGAAGAGATTCAGACTCGGATAAGGGTAATGTTCGGGTCAATCCTCTTGTCATGCAGTCATGATAGGTGCAGGTGGGCGCGTGGCTTTGGGGGAAGGCTATGTAGAGATGCTCACGGAGTTATTGCTAAGGTTGGTAATGGTGAATTTTCTCTTTATTTGTTTTTCTGATTTGGGTTGCTGGTTATGAGGACAGAATCCAAAGGTGTTTAGAATTCATGTCATGAATCGATGCGGAGGTTGGGGTTTATGGCATTATTCAAGTGCAACAATGGAGTTGTTATAGTGTTAATTTTCAGCATTCGGGTTGGTCGGGGCCAACATGCTAAGTTGCAGGCAGAGACTTATGACACTTTGTGATTGCTTCAACGAGGACGTTGAAATTCTTAAGTGGGGGAGGTTTGTTACGGGATTTGGACCTTGACAAGCCCCCTGACAGCCATGGGATGCTGTCAGCGTGCACTGGGGGTGCCCAGTGGCATTTTCGTAAATATGGCGAAAAGTGAAGCTTGGAGTTTTGGCTCGGGATCTTTATGGGAGGTACCTTGAGTCCATAGAAGATGGTTGGCGCAGACAGCACTCGATTTGGATGTCGTGCACTCTGAGACATTTATATGTGGGTGCAGATTAGTGGGCTTGGCACGGGATAAGTTCACATGGTTGGCTTAGATGTTGCTTAAAGCATGGACCACACAAGTCATGGACGTGTAGCATAGTCAAGTCAGGGACATGGGCACAAGGCAGTGGGCGTAGGCAAGGCTCAGCGTGCAAGGTTGCCTCAGGGGACTCAGACATGGCTTATGGTTACAGAAGATGGCTAAGTGGGCTGAGGTGGTTGGGGGAAGTTACACTTCCCACTAAGTGGGCTTAGTTAGTTGGGGGGAAGTTACTAGCACTTCCCACTCATGTGGGGAGTGGGGGTGTGCTGAATAACTTCCCATCCATGTGGCACAGATTTGAGAGGACAACACACAGGCGGTTGGAGGTGGTTTCTTCCACTATGCTGAGTGCAACTTCCTGTGGACACGTGGCATGAACAGAGTATGCCAACAAGCTAGTAGTTAGGCTTGTCAACTACATATGTAGTGTTGGCACACTTAGTGGGTGCCAACATGACCCTAGGTGGATGGGGGTGTCATCCATCACTTTAGTGGGTAGTTGTGGATGGATGGGGGTGTCATCCACCACTTTAGTGGACAGTTGTGGGCGGTTTTGAGAGTTTGCCTATATATTGCTAATGTGGGTTCTGTTGTGACAGCAGATTGAGAGTGAGACACAGAGTTGTGTTGTGAGAGACTCTTGTATGCTTCTGCAGGTTGAGGCTTTTCCTTGTACTGTTTTGTGAATAATAGTAAAAGGTTGGAAGCCTTGTGCTTCTGTAAAATCGTGTGTGTTATTGTCTTTACATTCTTGCAACTATACTTGTGTGTAAGAGTGTTTTACTTGTTGTGTGTTCTAGGCAGCAAGTGTGAGTTGGTTGAGCTAAGTTAGAAATTCAGAGAAAAGTTGTTCATATTTCTAGCTTAGTGCCATCACAGGCCACTAGATTCGTGTTAAGAATTTACCCCTGTGACAACTAGTATGTTTGACCTTGATCCTCTATTTATTATACTAGGACATATTACAAAGGGTATCTAATAACCCATTTATATGAATTAAATGCTAAAATGAGCAAATATGTTTTAAGGATGATAGATTAATTTAATTTGACTCTTATATTTGACCCTGATCCTCTTTTCTATGATTGTTGGTTATGTTGCGATGGTAGCCAATAACCTACTTGCTAAAGACAAGTCCCGTAGTGAACCTTGAAGCCA